ATTAGGCGTTAGATATAGCAGTGCAAAACTACATCAAAGGTCAACAAGAACTCCATGCCCCTATTAACACTACTATTGTCATGTGTGCTGCTGAGGCTATAGTAGCTGCTCGAGATCGTGGCCTATTGGTGGAACATGGTGGTCATATTAAAATCACTAAATCGTGGTGTAAGTCTTTGTTAGGTAGGATGGGGTATTCAAAAAGGAAGTGCTCCAATGCGGGGAACGTTTCAGTCTATCGATTAAAGGAACTTCAAGGAGACTTCCTAGCTGATATTCAAGCTGAAGTTCTCATGAACAACATTCCACCAGCAATGATCTTCAATTGGGATCAAACAGGATTACAGTTAGTACCAACAGGCCGGTGGACAATGAACCAGAGTGGTGAGAAGATGATCCCTATTGCCCATAGTGACAATAAGCGTCAAGTGACAGCTGTGCTGGCTGCTTCTTTGACTGGTGAGTTCTTGCCACCTCTAATTATTTATCAAGGGAAGACGACACGCTGTCATCCCACAGTTACAGCTGTTCCTCAAGGCTGGGATCTTTGGCATAGGGAGAATCATTGATCAAATGGAGAGACTATGGAGAGATATGTTGAGAAATTAATTGAACCCTACCTTAATGAAAAGAGTGCTGCACTGAAGCTAGAAAAGTCATCCAGCTTTGGCAATTTTTGATTGTTTCCGTGGACAATCCACACCTGGTTTTTTCTCACTCCTTAAAAAGCACAATATCATTGCTGTTCAAATTCCAGCCAACTGTACAGACCATCTCCAACCTCTTGATGTTTCTGTAAATAAGCCATTCAACCCACAATCCTTTGTCCCAATTTGTTTCTGACAATCTTTCATCACTCTTTCAGGAGCTCCATTGAATATTCTTGTTATCAGATCTGATGTTGGCGCATCTATTGAGGTATACGGAGAATCAAACACATATATGGTTTCACTTGAGGAGGAACTGATCATTGTTGCAACAATCCAATGATTCCCTTTGCAGTTCAGTATCTGGATAGCATCTGGCGTAGTAATGGTTGTTCGATGTACCATGTAACTTGACAAAAGTCCTGATATTGAATTTTGGTACTGCTTCTTGATAAGGCTTTGAGCATAGTTTGTGTTTGTCTGTCAGCCAGTCTCCAGAAATCACAATCTCTTTGTCCTCTAAAAACAGTTCAATGTGATCATGTAAAAGCCATCGGGTTCACTTTCATCAGTAGATTTTGTACAATTATCATCAGTCAAATTAATATCAACTTGTCTCCTTTTGGAGGCTGGCTCTTTTTCATTAGGTGTCAGTTTGTGCATAAGTAATTTCTTCATCTTGATATCTTCATTTTCGCCACTAAATATTAAATGACAAGGTACATCAAGTCTGCCTTGGGGAAGATCTACACTATAATGTTTGTCCAGTGACAACACAAGTTATTTTGCCTTTCCGATGAATAAAAAGTGAGCAAGCGGCTG